AAGAAGCAGTCCTCTACACAGTCCAGGAACTTCCTCAAGGAGGAGAGGCAGCCCAGTGCAGCAGCACCCCCGAGTGAGGGAGTCAGGGCAGGGAGGTATCTTAGCTCATGGCATCCTGCCCACTTGGTCTCCTGGCACCTGGCTATAAAACAAGGCAGGGAAGAGTCTGCCCACGGAGCTTGACCCTCAGAGCACAGCCAGGCTTCCCAGACCCAGGTCTCCCATGTGCCACAACTAGATGCTAGTTGGGGACGAATGGGCTGTGGTTTTGAACTTGAGAAAGGCTCCAAGTCAGGAGTTGTACTGGCTACTGGGGACACTACAGGTCGTGCAGAGTCAAGGGGAGGCTCTCGGAAGCCTTGGGACTGACAAGGCAACAGTCAGGAAGAAAACCAGGTAGAAATGTGTGTTCATTAGAGCCCGCCTGTTTGCCACACCCCAGAATACCCCATGTGTCCTGGAGCTGCCCCAACTGGGACAATGCCAGGATGAATAATGACACAGGCCTCACTGCTGGAGTGGGATTATGTGAGTCTTAACAGCCAACTCTGCAGCTCTGTCTCCACAAATGGCTGTGATGTCTCCTGGCTGGGGAGGAGGGTGCAGCCTATGTGTTCCGGATCCCCAGGGCCTGCTCCAGTTCCTGCCGCCTTTGCTGCACCTGCAAGAGACACCAGGAGCCCAGCATTACCATTCTCAGATGGTGCAGCACCACAGAAACCAGTAGCACAGGACCCAGGTGGGAAAGGGTGAACTCCAACTGGACCCAAGGTGCATCAGCAGTGTCTCCAAGTGAAGCTCAGCACTGGCACTGTCAGCCAGGAATGACAGGAACCCTGAGCCACAGGGTGAGGAGAGGGACCCCTGCTCGGGGACACTCACCTTGGAGTAGAAGTATCTGCACACAGCTTCCTGAGCCCAGGGCTGGAAGTAGAACTCAGCTCGACGCTCCTCTTCAGGATTCCCAACAACATCAGTCATTGTCTGGAGAGCACAAAGGACAGAGCAGCTCAAGCAGAGCAAAAAGCTCTGGCTGTGCTGAGCAAGCCCAAACTCCCTCCCCTTTCCTCAAAGAAATTCCTGTGCAGTCAGGTCAGGTTCTTATGCTCAACTCCAATTCCAGCCTTGTTTTCTGAGCCAGAAATTGCCTCTCTCTCTGTGGGAGCTGGTTATAATGAGGGAAGCCTGAGCCTGGATCCACCTTCCACACAAGACAAAGCTCTTACCTTTAAATCACGGCACTGGGACTGCAGCCAGTCATTGATGAAGCCCTGAGGATCTCGGGCAAAGCTCAGCATGAACTCCCGCTGGGTCTTCAGCTGGTTAATTGTCTCTATTGTTTCATGAATCTGAAGGAGAGAAGAACAGCAACTGAACTGCTGAGCAGGGGAAAAAAAGTCAGACAGAAACATCCAGAGAGCCAACACACACAGGCAAATTCTTACACTCTCTGCTTGACTGACACCCATCCTCTCTTCCCAGTTTCCTGCTCTCAGTTTTCCCACTGACACTGAAAACAACACCTCCAGGTGAAGCCACCTGCTTGTAGGCATGGCTGACCCCACTGCAGCTTCCAGATGCACAGCAGAGCTCAACTATCCTGTCCTGCTCAGGGCTCAGCTGCTCCAGGGACACACACAGCAGTGAGATCCAAAGCTTTTCCTACCTTATTATCCAGAGCAGCAATTTCCTGCTGGCTGGCAGTGGAGAGCAGGAAAGAATTCATCTGTGTTTTCAAGGTGTCATCCACCTCCACATCAATGTCATAGCAAGCAGTTTTCTTCTGGTCATTTGGGTCAACACTAGGGACAGCCACAAGAAAGAAGCTAAAATAAGGGAGCAGCTCCATAAAGCACCAAATTGTAGCTCCTGTGGGATGATGCAGGATCCAGGCTGCAGGCAGGGCTGAGTCTGGTGTCAGCTTCAGCTCTGGCACCAAGAGCAGCAAAGCTCCCCTGATGGCTTTGCAGCACAAGAACCAAGGGATTGCTCCAAGCAGGTTTCCATCTACAACAGAGGAAGGCAAAGGACAGCAGGAACATGGGAGTGCCTTGTGGGAAAGAGGGTAAACTGAAGAGGTGGCTGTTGTAGAAAGAAACAATGACAGAAACATGGAACTATTGCTGAAAATCTGAATGTTACTGTATCATCTTCCTCTGCCAGCCTCATCCATCCCTTCCAGCTAGAAATATGAAGCCAAGTGGACCAGCCTCACCTGATGACATGATTAATGATGATGGGTTCCGGGGGCATGAGCAAGGCATGGAGCCTCTGTGGGATTTCAGAGAACTTCATCCGCTGAGATTCAAATATCTGTGACAGAAACAGAGGCTGAGGGAAGGCAGGGGAGCCCTGTGCCAGGCAGCACTGGCAGCTGGCAGAGCTGAGGAGGGGCTGGTTCCAGCTCCTGTTACCTGCTGCAGGTACTTGTCACAGATGACGTACTCCCGCTCGTGGGGGTCCTGCAGCTTGTGGGTCTTGATGTATTGCCAGAGGGCCTGGATGATCACAGGCCTGGTCTGGGTGTGAATCCCCAGGAGACGAGCCAAGCGGGGGTCCAGCTTGAACTGGGGGGGCTGAGGCAAAAAGCAGAGGGAGGTGAGGAGGCCACAGACACAGCTGGTGCCCAGCACTGTCACCTCCAACCCCTCACCTGGTAATCCAGCATCAGGAGGACAGTGCAGCGCACGTTGACATCCCCTGGCCTCTTCACCTGGAAGCCATCTGTCTCCTGAGTGGTAGCAGTTCTGTGCCACTGAACAGGAGAGGACATTCAGAAGCTCCCCCACACCTGGTTCCCTTCCCTCCTGCTGCGTGGCACCCAACAAATCCCACCCACCTAGAGAAGTTCACCTTGTTCCCACTGACAGCTCGGAACAAGAGTTAATACGTTGGCTCAGTGCCCCAGCAAGTCAAAGGAAAAGCTAAGATCAGAATTCCAGAGCTCCTGGTTCCCAGCCACTGGTTCAAGCCTTGAGCAGCCCCACCTCTCAAGTTACAAACCCTGCCTGCTCAAACACCAACCCCTCCTTAAGAGGTAAGACAGCAAAAAGCAGCTCACCTCTACCAGGTGATTGTCAGGGCCATACAGGTCTTTATCAAGTTCAATGACCAGAGATTTAAAGAAGGATGAGAACTTTCTTTTCTGCTTGGTGGCATCATATTTGGACAAAGCAGACTGCAAGCAACACAGGAAGGAAAAGTGTTAGGACAGCAAGTCTCAGCAGTCAAGCACAGCCACCGTGCAACAACAGGGTTCCTTTCAGTTCTGGACACCTAAATTCACCAACATGTGCTTGAAAAATCAAGTTCCAAGTCAGAAAGTGAAAGGCTGGAGTTAAGGATGAGCTGGCAGGAATTAAATCACTCAGCAATCACATAGAGTGCAAGTGCCCTGCTTCTCAGAGCCAGGGTACCCAAGTGCCACTGATCTGCTCTCACCATTCATTCTTATAGCTCTAAGAATTTGAATAACTCATGTCCTGCCACGGGGACACCCTTCAGCTTCCAAGATGGGCTCAGTCTCTTCACCACCAGACTCCTTGGAAAACAGAGACGAAGGAGGATATCAAGCCCCTTGCTACACTCTCAAAGACACCCAGAAACTGGTTTCATTGCCAATCCCAGAGCCCTAAAGCCACCTGTGGTTGGGGCTTTCACACTCACATCTTCCAGCAGTCGTCCTTCCACCCGGAGCTCCCAGGAGGCAACTGTTCCTTCCCCATCCTCTGCATCTGACTTGGCTGGGTTGAAGGTGTTGGAGATAAAAATCCGCAGCTTTCGTTTTTGCTGAGAGAAAAAAGCTTTGGCTCAGGGTTCATCCTGCAACAAAGGGCTGAGCATCTTGTTTATGTTTTTGCTAAAATCAAGCTTCATGTTTTTAGCTGCCTCAGATTCCCCCTCTCCCAGGGCAGACAGTGGAGAAACAGACACTTCTGGCTCCATTCCTTGGTTATGTCTGGAGCATTAAGATTCCTGAGACTCCAGGATCCCAAGCTTCAGTGCCCTCCTGCTGCCTTAAGCAAAAAGAAGAGCTTCCAATCCAGGAATGCTGCCCTCCCTTACCTTAATGGGTCTCTTCAAAGCCTCCTGGATATCCAGGCGCTTCCTCATGATGGTCTGGTCCAGTTTCCTTTCAAAAGCCAGAAGGTCCATGTAGGCCTGAGACTCGGGCACCAGCTCTCGAATCTAGAGCCAAGCAAGGACACAAAATCCCTGTCAGCTCCCCTGGGCTCCTCCAGCCTCTTTCCTGCCAGCACAGGCTGCAACTGCACGTGCCACTCACCCTCTGAGGTAGAATTTTGTCAGCCATCTTCTTCTTTTTTGCACTGTTGAGGGAGAGGCACAGACCTGAGCACAGGGAGTGACTGACACCTCCCTGGCTCAGCCCCTGCAGCACTGGGGGG